CTTTATGTAGTGCAGCCACAGCTAGTGAAGCAGTGCCCAGGCCTCGGCGAGACATTCTGCGCATTCCTGGAGGACGTTACAGCAAATCTATTTAGTGTAATTTCCTATAATTAGATAGTGACACAGGTGTCGCAATTACTTCACTGGTTATCACATAGGGAGAGGCCCTGGTCAACTGCCAGACTTTCACTGAGCATTCTCACCTGCCGCGACTGGTCATCAATATGTCCACCCAGAGGTGCCCTCACTGTGGACGAGAGTTCAAGGAGCTGCGCCTGCATCTCCTTCGCAACCCCTATGGCTGCAAGGGTGTTATCGAGTCAACGCTGCCTGGCTGCTGCGTTGCCGGTGGAGACGTCGCCAACAATGATAAATTATTCACAGACAATGAGCCAGTACTGGTGGTGAATGTGGAATGCAGGCAGAGTGTTCCTCTTGACGAGCCATCAATTGGCACGTTCGAGATGGGCGTCTCATACCTTGACCACCTAGACAAGTATGCAGAGGCAAATAGTGAAAAGCCACCTGAGAAAAGTTTGTCTTCAGAGGTGGAGACCTTCCTCGCGGCGAACCTCTCGGGTGCGTTTTTACCAGCATTGGCCAGTGTTACCAGTGTTTACCAGCATTACTCACTGTTTCTAAGCATGCTGTTTTTGGTGCCTAGTTGATAGCAAGCCACAATGCTTACTGCAAGTTGAAATGTGATGCCTGCAGGTTGCAAGCTCCAGGAGTTTTTGCGCCTGTTCAAGCAGTTTCCAGGCGAGGCCTACACCCCATCTGCAGATACTTTGAAGGGTATCTACAATTCTTTGTGGGACTACCACCTCTGTGTACCACTCACATGCAGGTGAGGGCAAGGATAGCCTGTCCTTCCGGTCCCTGAAGCGCAAGGTCCTCCAGGCCGCACTTGATGTGGCCCTGGCACCCTTCAAGGACGCAAGCAAGGGACATTAGACAGTATGGCATGACCGACCTGACCACAACCGGCCCAAAAGAAAGCTATGTCAAAATCCTGTGGGCCAGCTACCAATTCACCAACAAGAAAATGGAGATACCCCCCCCCCCCAGTTGCTACGCTTCACTGCTTGTCACTTGCTTCTGTACTCTCCTGCAGGTTACCAGCAAGCTCAACATTGTCACGGCCAGGGGGGCTGCACACGATGACGAATACGAGAGCAACTGCCTGGTGAGTGACCTCAGAGTCTATTTGGGCCAAAGTATAAGAACATGTTGTAGTATTTGTCATTCTGTTGCTGTCTACATCTTGCAGAAGCAGGAGGTTCTTGACTTGAAGGGCCATCGCATGGGCAGATCAGGTCTAACCCTGCCCTGGGGACACTGACAGCCCCACAAACACTAATCCCACATTTGCACCCACTCGTGACCCTTGACAGGCGGAGTGGCCAGCCAGCCGCATCATTCGGCTGCATACCGCTGGAGACAGTGCTGCAGCGGGTTTGCATTGTCTGTGTGCCCCCAAAGGGCAAGGGGGCACAGGCACCCAGTGCCAGTGGGAAGGGTGGGAAGTCACGCAGGGTTGTGACTGGTAACAGCAAGGGTGGGCACACAGCTGCCGAGCTGAACCCTAAGTTTGTCTTGAATGACCTGG